AGCGTGTCGAAAGGTTTGAGGGAGTCAAGTTTCAGCAGTTTTTGGCGATGTTGAAAAGATGACTCAAAGCCGTTGGGATTGAATGTTCGCAGCACAGTGCATGGCCTTAGCAAGGTTTTTCTACAGTCAAGCATTAGAAATGCAATCCTCAACCGTTCAAACCCAGACGGAAGAGGCCCAGCCAATACGGAAACGAGCTGCCACCTTGCCTTCAGGCTACCACAACCAATACAAGTGACTTTGCAAGCATCAGATCTTTAACAAGACATCCCCAATCGCACTTACCTGCAAGAATGGCTGAACACCTACTATCAGTTGTGACAAGCAAGCGCCCTCAACACCACACAAAGCCAAAAGTCTGAATGCTGAACTCTTCGATGATCCAGACTTTAGACCCATGAACCCTAAACGTCCTAGAAACTCCCAAGCAGACAAACCCTACCCTACAACTCTTAAATACCAATTCTAAACGAAACATTCATTCAAAACATTCGAAGAGCCTGGCTCGGCCGGCATCCGCTCGTTGCCCATGGCCCGGCCCAGCTCGGTCATCAGCTCAACCTCCTTGTGGAGCTCTCCTGCCAGGAACTTACACGGACAAGAGGGTTTAGGACCGTTTAGGCTTTAGGTTTACCGGCAAAGGACAGCTATACAAAATGGTCTCACCTTGGGAGCGTCAGCGTCTTTAAAAGTTCCTTCGAGGAGTTTTACCCTCCATTTGCAGGTCTTGGGAGTCTCCCTGAGGAATTACAAGCAGCTGATTCTGCATGATCCAAGCTTTGAGGGTCGGGTTCAGGGTTGGGGTTTCGAGCGTCTGGGGAGTCTCAGGTTGGGACAGATTTAGCATGTATGCGGGAATTTACTGGAAGTTTGCCTTTGGGAGCACTCTGTCCTATCAAAACCAACCTCTGCCACATAATAAAGTCTCTTGCCAATACAGTACGATTGTTTGGATGGGAGGTTGCAAGGTTCGAGGTTCGGGGGAAGCGATTCTACACACAGTTGCAAAACTACAGCTACAGAACCCTACATCTTATAGCCATTTGTAGACGAACAAGCCTGGCGTCAGGATTTCGTACTTTGAAGCCCTTGATTTGTCAGGCAAGGCTTGCAGCTTTGATTCTCCTACGACAACCCTAAGCGCTAAAGCCGCACGTGTCGCATCCTGCACAGCACTCCCTACATCCAAAACACTGAGCGACTAATTCTTAACGGCTGGAAAAGTGTAAGGTTTGAGCTTCGGAGTTTGACCTCACGGCTGAACCCCACATGATCCTTGGGGCGATCCCATAATCCATTTAGAATCATAGTCCATCTACATCCCTGAAGGGCTGATCACTTAGACAATGTAGATTTGGGGTAGAACAACATGTCATACAGTTACAGAACCATTACGAGCAGAAGTTCTCTCTTTTGTCAGGCTTCTATAATACACTACCTTGAAAAAGGTAAAATAGAAATCTCTGACCCAAGAAGCCAATGCTCTAAAGCGCGGAGTACGAGAGTAGCATGGTGAAGCTGCTGATCATTGCCGGCCGCTGTTTCTACTTCCACCGTGGCGGTTGAGTATCACCAGCGCTGCAGTATACGGATACCAGTCCTGATCGTTGAAATGTTGCGCTTGCTGTCATACACATGAGCCCTAAGCCTCACACCAAAAAACTCAAACATCTTGAACACCACATGGATACCAAATCACAATGACTAAGCCCTAACCACCCTAAACCCTAGAGAGCTCCCTGAACCTAAACCCGAGCTCAACGATAATAAGCCTCTCGAGGTGTGAAGTATTTTTGGAACCGGATTGAGGGTCAAAGGCTACTCTAAAGGCACAGGCATTTTCGGGCTGACAGCCCCTCAGAATTGAAACAACCATTTTCCACACCCTCAAGAGATAGTGAGATTCACGTCTAAGGTGGTGTAAGGTGTTCATCGTCTGAAATCCGAGGAGAAGGAGACTCGTCCACTCAATATCATTCATTCTCCCTCTGTGGAACCCGATTTTTCGGATGGCGTATTATTAAGGGAGATTACATCATACTACCCCTAAGCCCAGAGTCTTAACACTCTGAAGGCTTCATTCCAAACCTGGCTGAATGCACAGGCCTCCAAAGGTCAGAATGAAATCCTTGGAGTAAGTGCAAGGGTTTTAGTTAAGGGTTTCAAGGCTTCAGGCTGTAGGGTTTGGTGCTTCAAGGTGCAGCAATGTCAGGGCTGTAGCGTTCTTGTTCAAGCCTTTAGGTTCCATGGCGTTAAGTGAAGGCTTTGGGCTTCAAGGTTTTAGTTTTCGCGTCTAGCAATTACGGGATGGAACGGAAACGAAGACATGCTTGAAGGGTTGAACAAAGTTTGGTTTTATTGTTGATGCTCATTTCACCGCCCAGTAGTTCCCGAAAGTCCTTAGGGAGGGCTTAGGAGTTTGCTGTACTTAGTGTGATACGAATAACAAATACTGTCGTGGCCGCCATCATGATGGACGTGATGGGAGCCTCAGTAATCATACTAAGAACAGAACAGGGATGGCAGACAGGCAGTCATGACGTGACTCATGGTGTTAGTGATACCATCTCAAAAAAACCTCAATATAACTCCGAAAATAGCTCCAAATGCATTCTGCCGAACTTTCACAGCCCCAGACGCTGCAATCCTAGCCCTACAGTTCCATCAGCGCAACACCAAGGGCAATGCTGCAAATGGCAACCATCCCCTACATTCTGAACCATAAACCCTGAGCCCAGAACAAACCGCAACCCCCAAGCAAAACCCCACCACCCTCTCTGCAGAAGGAGAATGGCTGGAACAAAACGTGCAAGACTCTCTCAGCGAAGCGTGCCAGTCAAATCCTTGGTTGAACGGTCATGTGGCTTTTGGACTGTAGAGTATAGGTTATGTAACTGTTTAAGCTTTTGGGGCTCAGAGCTTGGAGCCAGGGTCTTGTGCTAGGCAGGTTACTGCAGGTTCCCTTAAAAAATCAGAACCAGTGCTGGTCGTTACTTGGCTACAAAAAAATGTCAGCTCTCATGATGCCATACGCCCAAGAAAAGGAAAGAAACACGGCCAAAAAAGAGGCTTTACCTCTCAACCCTAAATCAGTCAGACCAGAATTGAATACCCCAAGGGCTAAACCCTAAATCGGCCCAGGATCAGTATGCGCATTTGACAGCGCCGGTATATGCAGAGGCAACGCCTCTCCAAGAGTGATACAGGGGCGTTCTCATAAAGGAGCTTCAGGCTTTACAAGCATGTCCCCATCCACGAATTGTCCTTCAAGCGATGCTAGTTTGGTGGCTACCCGGGCATTTGATGCGTTTGTACCGGAAGAAGTTCCTAACATGAGGGCAAGTAGACGCAAAACGTTGAACCCTAGTGGGTTGTAGCGGGTGTGCCAGCCGGACCTCCATAATTATCTCTTGTGATATCTCAGACTCCTGAGGGTGTCATGTGAGGTCACTCTAGGCAGATCCCGAATCACACTCAGCCCGGTTGCTTTCCATATCTGCTCGGCTGATCGACGCACCTGGCTTCAGAAGTTGTAGGCTCTGCGTTTTGGGCTTTGGTTTTGAACCTGCTTTGCTGCACTGACGGGAAGATCTAAGCGGGGTGAGGTAGAGGGATCTGGGCAGATGCTGAGCATGTAAGAGGAAGCTGGCAAACTCATCATGCCTTCAATCTTGCGGCTCTCCCATTCTAAAGTGCTTTGAAAACAGCTTTGCAGGGGACTCTTGGTTGGTAGTGCTGGAGGTTCGGGGCCTCCCCGATGTGATACATGTCCCTGTCAACATGCCGGTATTTTCCCTCAGCTTCCCATCAGAATAAACTACACATGCGCCCCAGCTGTGCGTCTACGTTGCACCGGTGGTTCTGCCCTAGAAAGTCACCTTTCAAGGCCAAATGCATGTTTTGGATCTGAATCTTGTCTGGATCCGGGGCTGCAGGATGTTTGGGGTTTTGAGTTCGGTGGGCTTCGAGGAACCGCAAACCGTAAACCCTAACTGTGTGGCTCTGAACCTCTTCGACAATGTCGTTGCCAGCGACGAATTATGCGTGAACAAAGCTTAGTGCTCGATAAAACGAGGGTTTAGTCTTGGGTCATGACAGGAAAGTTCAGAGTTCGGGGCTCGGGATTGAGGTTCAGGATTTTGGATTCTGGCTTCGGGGTTTCACCTCGCGAGGCGTCATGCAGTGCACAAACCGTGGATGTCCCAAAGGAGCATGTGCCAACCAAGCTCCTAACACACTCATTCTTCTGCCAAACCTTTGCGGTGTTGAGTTGAGGAGTTTGGAGCTTAGCTGCGGGTCCTAAACCCAGAACCCCCCAACTCAACTTGAAACCTGAAACTCTAGGCCCTGAAGCCCTGAACTTTGAACCTGCATATCACTTTATGAGCTCCCGCCTTCTTTTTCAAAGCTGCCAAAGAAGCGGAAAAAGTCGAGGTTGGGGGGATAAGCAACTTGAGACCATTGAAACCAGTCCTTCGCTCTCAATTTTGGGTTTAGGGATTGCGGTTTCTGGGAAACAGTGACGGGTTTCGACTTTAGGTTTAGCGCTTTCAAACGTTTGGACCATTGAAACCAATCCTTGCCGAGAGTGTGGGGGGCTTATCCTCTGAAAGCTCAGCCAATGAATCCTGCAAAACTTCCCGACCATCCAAACTCAAAACAGGGCATATGCCTATCCTGAGGGTCGTGACACCCTCAATCCAGGGTACGGGGGCTGCACATGAAAGACTGGGGTCCCAGCTCTTGAAATCCTTGAGATTTTAGCTTGAAGCATTCTTTGGGTTGAGGATTTTGGGATCAGGGCTTCGTGAAACGGCTTCTAGGGCTAAGGACTGAGCGTTTAAGCCACCATCATTCCTCCTGCAAACACATCATGATATCTGTGCATCTTCCTTTAAGTCTGACTTTTGTATGCTCATCCCGAATCTCCGAAGCCCAGCTTCGGAGTGGCAAGTGGAGGTTGCTCAAATATGCTTAAATGAGAGGCTGTTTACGAACCTTCAAACCATGTTCTCTAAAATCTCATACTCCAAGTTGAGACAGAGCTCATATGACGTTGTCACAGCGGGTTCCCACTTGCTGCCCGGCGCATACGGGTCAGTAATGCTCTTCACAGGCGCTGACTTCACCATTCCTCACAGTTGCTCATGGCAGACTGGTTCAGGGTTTCGGGGTCTAGGAATCAGGGTCTAAGATTGACTGCAACAGATTCCTCAAAATCATAAGCCCCGTTTAGGTTGCGGACCCAGAGTTTAGGCATAGGCGTCGAGGGTTTGCCCTTGGGTTCCCTGCCGTAGTGAGATGCCCCTTTTTGGTGTCTCTATTCATCGAGGTTCAAGCATCCGAGCCATGCAAATCTTACCGAAATCTTGCCTGTAGATTTTTTGTGGCTGTCATGTTTTGTTTCGGCAACAAGTTACAGGAACACACGAGTAGGCGCCCATGTGTACAACGAGGACCCTGTATTTATGTACGTAGGTTCCTAGCAGCCCCACACAGAAAAGACATTCTGTCAACCTCTGGGGTCCCCTGATAGACCCCTCTCAAATCGTCCTTCTTACGGGGGTCTGTCATATTTAGAAGCCCTTGATGACCTACATGAGAGCTCAGGGCCGCATCACTTTAGGGTTAACACTTTGACGCAAACCTGGCACCTTGCTGAGGACGAGGTTCGGGGGCAGTGCTTGGGTTTGGGGGTCTCGCCCTCAGGCAACATCTCCAAACACAACTTGAGCTTGATCTCCGAATCCCAAGACTTCCTCTGTTAGGGTCTAGGGGTATGGGTTAAGAATTGAAGGGCATCTTGTGAGGGGGCCGTCCACTCCTAAACTCTAAGCCCTGCAGCGCTTAGCTTTGGCATCTTGCTGTCAACATCTTGTTGTTTGGGGCTGTAACAAATTTTAGCAAGTGACATGCATCACATCCTGCAGTTTTGGGTACATGCTGGGCTTGGCGTTTGTTGTATTTGGATGGCAGCGGTGTCAGGACCTTGTACCTTGCAATGTGAAGGAGTTCCAACTACAGTGGCGCTTCTGGCAGTTTGAACAAGACCTGGAGGGATGTTTGGGCTTCAAACATGAGCGCCTGTAGCCTTTTCAAGCATGTTGTCCTGCTGCCTCAGGTGAAACGTGTCTTCCAAGAGTGTTGGCAGTCTGCTTTTTGCATGTTTCTTTGGCTATTTAGAAATTGAACCTATTTCTTGCACGCCACCCATCTTGTTGAGGGAGCCTAAGCCTGGCTCATGATGAGTTACGAGACTCGTGTTGTGTTGGCTCTCGAATGGATAGTCTCCCCACAGGGCCCACTGCTTGAGTAGTAGTAGTAGTAGTAGTAGTAGTAGTACCCCGTCTAACTGCCATCTTGTGTGGTCGGTATGAGCCCCCCGTCTAGTGCCTGTGTAGAGTGGTGGTAGTGTCTAAGTGCAAGGCTGCAAGAGCTGGACCTCCCACATTGCTGATCCGCAGTGAACCTAGGCACGAACAATTTCGGCACACAAAGGGACCATTGGGCATCACCTTGGGGGTCCGAAGCACGAGGAGGTGTTCTACTCGCCAAGTGTCCCATCTTCTCGTAGACATCGACCTTGATGTCCTTGCCCTGCACATGTCAGATAATTCCCTCAGCATCAGAGCTGGGTCCTATTTCTAAGAGGAACATGCATCCCAAGAATGGGCACCATGTCACAATAGGCGTGCAACAGCTCTATTCTGCATTCTGGGCCTTTCGCATAAGTCAAGTCCATGTTAGACTCCAAAATGGTTCACCGGCATCTGAATCTTCGTAGACACGTTCGGCCTTGTAACGGAAGGGCTCAGATCATTGCACCAAGGTTTGATGTATCCGTCTATGACTATGCAGTGAGGCTAGAGGATCCCTATTCCCAAATTATTCCAAGTATTCAGGCTTCGACTCTAGACCTTAAACAACCTGGATCAAGCCTCCAACCGAAAACCAAGCGCAAAATTTCAGGACTTGTGTGCTTGCGGCTGCCAGCCACTACTTGCTTGCTAGAAATCACGCTAGAAGCCCCTGCAAGCTGAATCCTGAGAGCCTGAACCCTGGATTAGCCTAAACCCTGCGCATCAATCACCTTCACAACCCAAGCCCTTTACAAAGACGAAGTGAAGGCCCCAAACCACTCCTCCAGTCGCGGGCCCCAGGCCCGCTTGTCGAAGCTCAGGCCGGAGGAGCAAAAGTCGGTCACGCGCGCGAAGAAGGGAGGCTTGTCCTGGATTCGGGGGCTGCTTTTTAGTTTAAGGCCTGGGCTTTTTTGAGGTTCTATATAGGCCTTAAGGAAGAAGAGAGTGTCTTTGCCAGAACTATACGGTTATCCATTTGGCCCCTTGTTGGGGCCGCCTTCGAGGTCTCCAGCACCTTGGGTATGGGAACAAGTTGAAGCAGGTTGCTTCATCCCTATACACGTAAGGTGAGCTGGCAAAACATATTTCTGCACCGTGCTGTGGAAAAGGGGGCATACCTTCGATACTTACCCACTTGCTTGCAGGGGTTGGATGCTAGTGAAGTCGGGCCTCAGGCGGCAGGATTTTAGGATGCTATGTAAATCCCACCCCCGAAACCATAATTAAGCCGTGCAAGGATGACGGGCTCCGAGCTTGCTAGATTTGGCCAAGAACATGGCATGCACTGTCGTGATCCGCTCCACCTGTCCCTGCAAACGCGGTCATGCTTACTGAACATAGGTTGTGCTGTGCTAAATGCCCCAGGTGCCTGCCACTGATCATTATGATCTGTCCAAGCACGAAGGCCCACTCGTCTGAAGTTGCAAGGCAGAACCATCCAGGGCTTGAGAGCATGGAGTTCCAAATGAAAGCTTTGATATTCAGGAGGTCTGAAGCATTAAGTGCTTATTTTCTGGGATTAGGGTCGGGTGTACCAAGCCATCGGGACACTGAACAACCATACAATATTGCACAGGATACCGTCACACATTTTCTACCTGGGCCTTGACAACACTAGACCCTGGCTAGCCCTTCACCCAATGGCCCCCCCCAAAGACTTCACACCCCCAAGACATCAGAAGCCCGCTTCTCGCACATGCGCAGCATCCAAATCCCGAGCTTTGACACATCCCAAATGGAAACCAGAGAGCGTTTGAAGGCATAACCCGAACGGCTGTGCCAGCCTTTCTACACCACAACACACCCGCTCGCAAATCCTTGCCCCTAAAAAAGAAAACCAAATCCTAAGCCCAACCAACAAACCCAAACCCCTAAAACTCTAAATTATGAACCCTATAAAGCCAAAGTCCAAGCCTCAACCGGTGACCCCTAGGCCGAACCTCCGGGATCGTTGTGCATTTGGGGGTGCCCTAGAATAGCGCTGTGTGAGACCCCCCCGCGTTTTGAGAAGCCCCAAATGTCTCCTCCTGCGGCATCGGCGGCAGAGGAGGCACTGACGAAGGTCCCGGTTGGGGATTGCATTCCGAAAAATAGGTTTCATAATTGCCAAATGGCTTGTAGGCTTAGGGTATGGGTTTGTAGAGGCACGGGTTTAAGGAATTGGGTGTCTGGTGTGTGGGTTCAGGAATCGTTTTGCCAGGCAAAGGTTTGGGCTTAGGCGGCGGAGGTCTTTTGTTAAGCGCGGCTCGGCCTTGGAAGCAAGGTGTGGCTCGACCCTTGTTGGGGGGCGCACCGTCATCCTTGTGATGGTTGGCACTTTTGACACGCGAGACGATGTTAGGACAGTTATGGGAATGGCGACCCCGACCCGCCTGATCCTTGTGACTGCTGCAACTTCTGAACCGCAGAGCCCGAAAGTGAGGTCAGAAACGAGGATGGCGACCCCGAACCGTCAGATCCCTGTGACCGTTGCATTTTTGACACGCCACAATGGCGCTTTGGACATTCAACAAAGATGTGAGGGTCCAAAGAACGACGGGCACAGGGATGGCGACACTCTTTCCCTGTCAACCCTTTGAAAAAGCGACCAAGATATGGGACAACTTCTTGAAGCTCTACAAACTGCTAATGGCAAGACCGCTAGCTTCTGGAATGCCACGCGTACGGTAAGTTGCGGCAAGGGCAGCTTCTTCTTACATCCAGAACATGACTGCAATCCGCGGGCTTTGCGCTCCAAGCAGGATTTGCGCCTTATGGAAGGACGCATATGCAGTAAATTGCAGCCTTGGCAGGCCCTCAAAAGCTTTAAGTAATCAAATGCAACGTGTGCAACTCCTTGAATTTGCGCATATTTTGCATCTCACATGTCATGTGCAATTCTTCGATGCCGCTTGCATCTGCAAGTCCGCAAGCATTCTGCACAATATGCGCTCAGGCATTAGCAGCGGTTTCATGCTGGAGCGCAATAGGACTTGTTCTCGAGACCCGCACGTTGCTCCCAACTAGTCTGTCGTGTTGTTCTGTAAGTGCCTGCCTTTTAACTTCTTCAAAAAACATTGACGAAGAAGATGAAACCATCTCCGATGTGTTTTGTTATTAGCTGCCTGCCCTTTTTAGGCAGCGTTGCTTTGGGTGAGGGGTCAAAATCAAATTAAAACTCTTACGAAAACATCCAAATTATTGATTTGGGCGCGGAAATATCGTAAATGGCATGATTCTGAGGATCAAGCACGAAGAATGTATGCCAAACAATGAGGACAAGAATGGTGAACATGATGAAACGTGTGCAACATGTTGGGTGAGGGTCAAAATCAAAACTCATACGAACAAATCACATTAATGATTTGGGCGCGGAAAAACTGTAAAGGTGCCGATTCAGATTACTAAGCACGAAGAATGTATGTGAAACAATGAGGACAAACTATGGTGAAAACGATGAAGCGTGTGCAAGATGATGAATAAACAGGACAAAGCTGGTGCAGCATGAAAGAAAGTTGATGAAAGTGATGGAACAAGCAGGTACTTATCTGGCGGTCCTGTCAGTGCAGTCTGTCTGGATTTCTCCTTGACTGAAGGCTGCGGCGCCAGCCTTCGCGCTGTGTTTTCACCGCTACGGCGACTGCCGCCTTCAAGTTGCCGTACATCCGCCAAGGGATGTAGTAGGACTCACCTCGTGGCTGTGTGGCTTCGTGTGCGACTGGGTGCCGTGCTGCGTTGAATCTCTGGCCTTGCCACTTGGCCACGAGCTGTCGTCGGTCCACCCGCACTTGGATGCCGCGCTTGGTCCACGTGTAGACGGCTTGGGTGTCGGGCGGTGCTAGCCTTGGCATTTAGGTGCTGCGGGTGCTGTGCGCGCCCGGACCAGCATTTTTTCGAGTGCCCGGCCAGTCCGGTAGTCCTCCCTCTTGGGCGATCTTGGACTGATGCTCCTGATCAAGCATGTTGTGTGGGCCTCCACTCTATTCTATATACGGAATTTGCATTTGCGGTCCGGTCCTTCAGCAGACGCTCCTTTAGCTGCGGATCTTCTCGGAGCGCCTTTCGGAGCCGTCTTTCCGGCCCGGCTTGCGGGGGTCGCTTGCGTCCGCAGCACTGGTCGTGTTGGCCGGCTGCTGGCAAGAACCTTCGGGCACCATGGGTTGACCGCTACTCTAGGTTGGCATGCTGACTTCCGAGTTCGCGGCGGGCGTGTGGCCTGCGGCAGCTTCGTGGCCGCGTCATCCTCTTGAACTGCGTGTTGAGGCTGCCTGGGCATGGCGCTGAATGGGACCTGTGCTGCTTGCGTCTGCCTGTATCTTTGCGTACTGTTGCCTGAAATTACTGGACTTCTGCAGTCAATGGACATGCGTTTATTCGCGTGGACTCATTTTGCCAGCTGGTGGTCACGTCAGCTTCGCGCGGTCTTTGCGCCTTTCAATCCACCTGCGGCAATGCTCTTCTTCTGGGAGGTTTTGCGTACTTTCGGTTTCAACTACGTAGCAGCGCAAGAACTTGCGGACCAAGTTGCTTGCTCTTGTCCGGCGGGCTCACGACGACCGTGAAGTTGCGGATCGGGAGGTCGCGAATCTGGATGTTCTGACCTGCGGCCGGGGCATGAATGGAACGATTTCTTTTCGTTCTGCGATTTCCGGCCTGCGACCCTGTTCTCCGTGTCCAACAGCGTGACTATTTGGCTGTGGCCGATGTTCTGCTTCTGGAAAAGTGACGCAGCATTAGGCTATCAGGCAAATGGTGAAAATGGCGAAATATCATACACATGTTAACATATCATGGAATTCATGAAGTCTTCAAAAATAAAAACAAATGCCAAGACATGAAAGTATGGTGATTGAATATAGCTTGATGAAAATGATTGAAATTCATGGAGTTGGCTTTGGCCTTTTAATTCGTCGATGCTCCGCGCAAGAGCACCATTATTTGACAGGGATCAGAAGAGGAAAGAAGAATCAAAAACCAAGAGCGCTCAATGCGATAGTTTCATTTCCCAGGCTTTATGTCTCCTCATTTGTTTGTGATCTTTATCTGCTTGTTTTGATCCCTATAACATGGAGATTGGAGTGATTGCAGCTTCTCTTGCAAGACATTGGCAAAGATGAAGCCATCTGAAGTTTCACATGTTGCTCGTGGGCTTGTGCTGGGTTCTCATATGCTTTGATACGTAGACGCCTGCCGCCTATACAACAGCGGCGGGTTCGGGCTGCGGGAATACCTCTATGTCCAAAACATTGACGAGGATTAACCATCCGAAGATTCACACATCGCCTGTCAGGTTTTGTTGGATGGCGGCTAGTGATGCGCTGTGCCATAACTTAATGTCTGCGGCTTATCAAGCAGCATGGGGACTGTGGATGCAGTTGCAAACACGGACGAAGATAAACCTGAGTTTCTAGGCATTCGATTCCCAATAAACGGAAGGCGGCTGGGCATCCCAATACACATGTTCAACACAGCAGAATCTTTATATGCCCCGTTGCGAGGTTTTGTTAGACAGTTCACCGGTTTAACAATGTAGTTAACGCAGATGCATGCTGAAGTAGGTGGAATAGAAATCCCAGATCTCGCACATTGCTGAGGATGCTGGGGATTTGGGAGATGCAAAGACCCATCATCTCGCGCTGTCCACATTAGCCCCTTCCTGAACGGACAGCGGTCTACATAGTCTATAGGGGATACGATCCAAGTTCCATGTTGGCCTCAAGGAGGAAAGCGGGGAGGTCTCTGGCTACTTCCTCTGGTTACTAGATTTATTTCATCAAGAAGTTTTCTATGGCATGCAAGCGGAGCAAATGCAGAGACTTGAAGAGTTGGCACCGAACCTCAGCCGCAACAACCACAAGCGGTAAAGCGACAAGTCTAGAGTCTACTTCCCTAGGTTATGCCTCCCTGAGGTGAAACCATGAAGCTTCCTTCACTTCCTTCACCAAACTCTACACCTGAACCCTGAAACTCTGAATGCAAACACGTACTCTGCATCCCTAAACGCCTCAAACAACTAGACAGTAGAATTTCAAACCTTAGGCCCTAAATCCGAAATCTACTAAATCCCTGCCGCAATCCCTAAGACACTTCGACCCTCAATTTTGCCGTTGACTTCTTCCCCAATTCCTTAGCCTAGCTTCCCCAGGTACCTGGCAGGCCCATGGCTCGATGGTAGGCGCGCACACCCACGGCGGCTGCCACAACATCCACCAACTGAGGCATGCTCACACAGCTGTTGGCTTTGCTTGGGGATGAGACGACTTGGCTCCAATTTATAGTCCCTCCCAAGCATGTACGGACGCCCTCTCCCACAAATACAAACTGCAACCAGCAAGCAAAGTCGTCGTCCCTCATAATTGTAACAACAAATTCGTTTGTACCTTGCTCGAAGCTTTTCAACTCGGAGGAGCAGCAGATTATAACTACCCAAAATCATATCAACTACAAAACATCGCAAAAGCCTCAATAAGGCCCGTGAATCCTTTTGAGGGTGAAAACCTCGCGTTGGCGCATACCATGAAACAGTGGAGGAAATATCTTAGGGTGTAGAGCTTATAGACGTTTAGTTCAATCTTATTGATTTGAAAGGTCCTTTGGGAAACAACGTCAAATGAAGACCCCGAGGAAAAACAGAAGCCCACATGAATCCTGGGAGGGGACCCATGTAGATCGACTTTCAACATTCGATGAATATGTAGAACATGCCCGGCAGCAAAGTTGCCAGTTGCTGCGAGATGATCTGCGTTACATACAATTACCAAATATTGGCAGAACATACTTCTTCACTATCCCTAAGCCCAAGCGTAGAGCCCCGGGAAAAGCTGGACCCCACCTGACAGCCATACCCCCAACCCTGCATTACCAGACTCTCGAGTCTAAGCCGGCAAAGCTGGACCTAACCCAGATCTGCGCATAGCTGCAACTGCAACCCCACACACTTGAAACCCAAACCCACGCCCTTTCATCTTGAATCCTGACAATGATAGCACCCCAAACTGCACATCGCTTAAAGTCTACAAAGACTTTTGCCCTCCGCCATGCAGATACACACGTGCTTGTAGCGTTGTTGGTTCCATGTTGTTCTGGGGGAGTCTAAAGCCCCACACTCTGCCTCACAAAGTCGAACGAATTTCTCATCGCGCAGCTCCTTGGATCCCTCCTCGCGTGCGAGTCGCCGTTGCAGGTTGTGGTCACATGAGATTGCCCGCACACATGCAGTCAGCTAAACTCCGTCTTCGGGTTAGGGGGCGGAGGTTACGAGAAATTCAGAATAGCCATTCATATATATTTTATTTTTTAATATTTCGTAGGAAGCTATATTTTAGAGATTTCTACGGCTGCTGTGGGAGATTATTTGACGGACTTTTCTAGAGTTCGTGACGGGGAGCCCTACCATCCCAGTTTAGTCCCAACATACCCTCTGTGTCCCGAAGCCCACCCACACCCACTGCTTTTTGACATGCCTCGTCTGCACTCCAAATGCCACTATCAAAGCCACAGTCTAGGATTCTTCTTCGTGTTATCAACCCTGACCCAAGCTCCAAACCCTCAACTTCAACTCTGAAGCCTACACTTCCAGCTTATGGAGTATCAGCGGGAGCTGAGGATGCACGAGCTGGGGTTGCAGCCTGCACTGTTTTGGGGTTCGCGTGTTTTTGGATTATGACAGTTGCGTGGCGGGGTGAAGCTGTCGATGGATGAATCTTGCACCATCTGAAGCTGCCGAAGCCCTATGGATTACGATGGTTCTAGACCTAAGGTGGTTTAGGAATTCCTCCAACACTGTCTTACAAGGACGCCTCAGATTTGCTGCTACAAACAGAATCACATCAATGACACACAGACAAACACATCAAATACAGACCGTAGACTGAACAATTCGAACATTTTGCTACTTTTTGGGGGTGGGCGGGGCTGAAGGCGGCGGTCCTAGCATTCATTTTATCAGAATGTTGGTTCTAGGCCGAAGTTTGTTGGTACTCAAGAGACCACCTCCAAACAGCCCAGAATGCTGATCCAACTGTTTCCTACTACTACGTGGATCAGGATTCTGCGAACGGTGTTGCGGGATGCAGCCTGCTTTTTGCTCATGGATTTGCTATGTTCAGCCGTTCAGCTGAGAGATGTGCCAAGCTCAAAAAAAGCTTGTGGAGGTCGGGCAAGCACGAAACTCGCAACGCTGAACCAGGCAAAGCTCCTGAAGCTTTTCGGCATCTGGCACCTCTCCCGCATCCACCAGAACCTGCCAAACTTATCGGGGTTCGGGAAAGTTATTAGGCTAAAGAGCCCGGGCAATGTAGGGCTTGAGGCCCGAACTTTTACCGAACGCTAAGCGTGTATACCCTCCAAAGGAACCAGGACGTGCGAGACTGTAATATCTACACCCCACCCCTGAGCTCAAAGTCCCCCCTCAAATTCCCAACCCAGCAAGGGGCTTCACTCTCAGCACGCCTCCCAGAGGTACTCAGCAGCTTCCGCATACCAACTTGCGTTCAGGATGTGCTGCCTTGGGTTGCCATCAGATATGCATGTACATGCGATACATGCAAATAAATGCGCATTATGTTGACATTCCGTACACACACACACACACACGTGTATATATATATATAGACGTTAGACAGATGTATAAACATGCAATACATCTTGAGATTCAGGTGTGCCATGACGATGGGGGTTACTACTGCTTGCTACTGCTGGCACTGCTACGGACCGCTGCAGCAACCTTGGCTTAACAACGACGACAAGGAAGAGGAAAACTACTGTGACTAGCCCTGTCTTCATGCAACTGGCACCGTACTACGTGTACTGGCTGCTTTAATGGTAAAGCCCCAAGAATCATACCGAAGCAAACCCCTTGCCCTGAGCCCCAACTACCTCCTTTTCCTGGCAGGATGCTGATTGGCCACAGCATGCACGAGAATACCCAGGCCTCCACACTCCTCCAGCATGTTTTGGGGCTTGGGGCCAGAGGGTTTAGGGTTTACCTCGCAGTACTGCTGGGAAACAGACTTCCTGGTTGTACCCGCAGCTGTTTCAGGTGTCTATATCAGGGAGGTCTAGGCCCCAGTCAAGCTAAGTACGGCATGTACTCCAGCGTTTTATGGAATTCTGTGGGCCTGGGCGGAAGGATAAACAGGTCTTCGGGCTTCACAAGAGTCTTTGAGGGGTTGGGGCATGGGATCTCAGAAACGGGAATTGCCGACACACCATGTATACTTGGATTGAAGCCCTTTGTTTGGTTAAGCGCCGCAACCCCCCACCTCCAAACCACAAGACCCACTCTCCTCACCCTAAACTTGAAGCCCTACGCCCAAACAGCCATCTCCACATCCTGAACCCCAGTTGCCTCTGGTTCGGAGTAGCGGTGGTGCGCCAGGCCAATGGCCTTAAATGGCTCCTCCCAAGCATTGAAATTTCAGGAGTGCATGGTTCAGGGGCGCCGAGCAGGGTCTAAAGGCTGGGGATTGTCGTGCTGGGGAATTGGTTTCAACATGTCTCCCCGCTATGCGTCGCTTTCCCACTTCCAACTTTCAAGCAGGAGCATGTGAGGTTTTTGCATAGCTATTACCCTTGCAAAACAAGCCGCTGTGGGATCTTTCTTGGACCCTCCATGAAGTCGTGAAGGATTTGATAAGGGTCTGACCCAATGACTAATTACATCTATAGGGTTGGGGCTGCCAGAATGAGGAGTAACCATTATCAAGACTCAATGCGCCTATCTTCCGCTCTGTAATTAATAGCCACAAGCCGTGAACCCTAAACCTACAACATTATCAAACCCCGAGGTCTCAGAAGAACGGGTCCCCAGTTCTTAGTTGCAGGAAGAAGAAGCACACGTCCACTAAAGCCTGCTGAATGCACAAATACGTTTTCTGCTGGGCATCGTATGCCCCAAGGTTGGTTGAACGGAATATGATTATACTTGTATTGTAGCTTACCAAAACCCGGGGGATGACATTATCTTACTCGAGATTGAGGATTGTCATCATGCCTCAGTTTGACTTAATTACTGGTTCACTCCACCTCTAAATTCTGCATTCCAAGCCCTGAAAACCCCCTGCCAAAGCCCTCAACCCAGAAAGCCTAAACCCCACACCGCCAACCCCACCTGGAATTTCATCTGGCGGCCGGCAGCGTGAAGCTTCTGGCAGCCTTTGTCATGGTCTTTTCGGGTCTATTCGTTTGAATATTTGGGGCCAGCGCTTAGGGTTTCGACCTTCGGGGTTTAAGGATTTGGGGATTCAGAGTTTCTGTCTATTTTTCTTGAGGATTGCGAGGATTGGGTGTTGAGGAATTGAGTTTCAGGTTGGGCCGGGATTCAAGGTTTAGGGTGTGCGAGTTTAGGCTTCGGGCTTTATGGTTTGGCATGTAGGGCTGCTTGGGGTCTTCGTCGTCAGAGTGGATCGGCGATGATTTTGTCGTCAGCCTTTGTGTGTGGGTAACGGACCTGCGAGTCTACCCTGGAACATATTCAAGACAACATTATTGCCTTCCTCCAAACTGGCATGGAATCCCAAAACAGGGACCCGTCAATTGGCAGTACACTGAGAAGAACTTCATGTAACTCCAAACTCAAGAGCTGATGAGGCCTAAATTGGAAGTCTGATCCTCTGTTCTCCAAATGGTGAGAATGAGCTCGGCATCACTGACACTGGCACTCACCAACCGCTCCACTACTTGGGAACCTGGAAGAGGGTTATACGAAAACTTTCAAAATGGGAGCTGTCCTCATGGCCCCAAGAGAGTACGGAGAGTAGAAGAGGATGGATAACGAACGTTCCACTTGAAGAGCTCCTGCATCTCTAGGCAGTGGAAGGTATGTCTCCCAGAGAATTGCTTTGCGTCTGCCTCAATATGTTTAGGAGGGTTTGAGACGGGTCATCGGTGGGAGAGCGCTGTTAGGATGCTTGAACCAAGGCAGTGAAGCCTTCGGGGCTTACAGTAGGGTTTCGGCAACGCCCACCCTTTCGCTCAGGGCTTCCACTAGCAAGTCCTTGCTTCGGAATCTATGATGTCTTGGTGTTGGGTGATTTGGGGGAAATCAAGATAGATAGACACAAATATTCGGCTCCTAGTTTGCTGATGGGAATGATTTTGCCGTGGAAGTTCTGAGCCGTAGCCAGAAGAAATTACGCCACGCTCCCGGGAAGAAGTACGAACCTTGAACCCTAAACAGAATACCCGCCCCAGTACGCGCAACACCCCAAACCCAGACCTCAACTAACATCTGAACCACATGGTAGACCTAAATCCCTAAACTCTGAGATTCACTGAAGCACTGCAGCACTGAAGCACCAGAAAAGCGCAAGGAACCGCACCTGGACACGAAGCTGTACATGCCAACGCCTGGCAAAGGGGCCGGCTGTGGCGAACCAAGGATATGGCGACTAGGGGTTAGGCGCTGGGTTTCGGGTCAAGGGTCTAAGCTGCGGGGACACTAGCTGTTACTCTGTAATCAGCTCAGAACTACTTGATGCACATCTCTAAAGGCACTGCAAAAGGATCGATTCAACCGACTCTAGTCTTACTAGCCATGTCACCTGACTGTGTTCCTTATGCTGTTGAGTTGTTGTGGCGAAATATCATGTGCTCTAACTAAGCTGACTCTGGCAACTGGTTGCCGTCTCTTTTGCTTTCTGTGGCGTTCTGAAATCCTGTACCAACCGCACTCTCTATGCAGGTCCGGAAATGCTGCCCTGCATGTGGAAAACACGCCTCCATGTAACCCTGAAACATAAACTCTGACTCCCAAGCCCAGAGAGCTCATGTGCCTCTGGCTTCCACATGTCATGAAAGAAGAAGCTCGCGCAGATTCCGGAACGCTGAGGGCAACCCACTAAGGCAGCGCCCGCACAGATCAAGGATTTAGGGTGGAGAGAATAGAGTCCGGGATTGCGACGTGGAGAGAATAGAGTCCGGGATTGTGGCGAGGGATTTGGGGCTGTGTTTTTAGGGTCAAAACTGATGGGGGCACAGTTTAGGGTGCTTCTCAGAACTCCACGATCAAAACCCAAACTCTGAATCTAACACTGCATGTTATAATATCAACATGTCGATTCTGGGCCCTGCAACTTTCGCGCGGATCCATGGTATGAGCTCCACAACAGCCCCAAGCACTGGACCAACTTGGTTCAGGGTTCGGGTACGCCCTCAACCTGTACCTTCACAGACAACTCCAATCCCCACAAAACCTGCTGCTCTATCAAGTCCCAGGTTCTGCTGGACAATGTCTACAAGTTTAGCCGAGACTTTGTACCATCCATCATGAGACGCAGGAATCCTCGCCTCTCTAAGGATTTTCTGATAGAGGCACTGCAAACATTCTGTGCCCGTGCCACAGAGCTCCCAGAAACCCGGAAAACACCGAGCATTACGTAGCAGAAACAATCCTGAACAAGCCCTTTCCAAAAGGAACCCGTGATCTGTTGGAAAGGCCCCTTTGGGTCTCATGCTTGCCGAGGGAAGTGCGGCCCACTTGCGCCTCCCGAACAAGCTGTGCACGCCGCGTGTTTGTGAGAAAATCGCCCCGGTCGCAAAGCTGAAGCAGAAGTTTCCTGAGCCATATGGTAAGAATACAAGCACAGAATCTTGTGTGGCTAAAATGGCAACTCCACAGTAAACAAAGCCCAGTTAGACTAGCAAAGAGATCACTAGGTCACTAGGTTCACCCGTCGTGCTCCGTTGGCGAACCTGGACTGACTTTGAAGGACTGATGCTATTGGACGAATTCAGGCAATCCTGAAACTGGCCCTATAATAATCTTGGACCTCTGGGCTGGGCCCTGCCGTAGCACCTGTACCTTCAGTGTCTTTGAGCATAACCTAGGGGCCTACATGATTAGAACAATCTCTTGGGACAACCCTAACATGACGTCATTTGCAACCTGATGGTCAGATACGACAGGAGCAGGTGCAAACAGGGTTGGGCTTTCAGTGTCTATAGCGAACGCACACGAGACTTAAGGAACTTTTTCCTGCTCTGCATTTCCTGCTTCACAACAGCCTTGCGCTAAGCCACGGACCCTTCACTGCGCCATGGGACTTGGGAATTGCAAGGACGGCCATGAGAATCCAGGGCTTAAGTAACACCGTGGCAGCTCTCTACAGCCAGCATGGCTGCCTCAAAGTAGAAACCTAAACAACAAGATTTCGAAATACGTGTGGACTGGGCAGGCAGCGGCGCTTCAACCCATTCATTTGAAATCTTCTCCAATGAAACTTCAATAGCATGGCCTTCCACAGGTCAACACTTTTTTCGCACGCCGCAAAAAAAAGGCCTCCGCGCCACCGCCGCGCAAACAGCATTTCCCCCCTGCCAGCAGACGACATCCGAGGAAAGAGTCTCATCAATTGCTTCTTGTCCGGGAGGTCTTGGGCACTGAGTGGCCTGGACTCCAAAAGGCTCCTTTCCCCTTAGGCTCTTGTGGAGCCAGGAAAAAGCCTCCTCTTTTGACTGCTACTCGTATTGCATCGATTTTCTTCGTACACAAGCTTGGTCAGGTTTACTTATTCACACTTTCACACTATTTCAAATTATATACACTATTGCCACAAAGCAAGGCTTTGACTTTGGCTTCTAGAGTCTATAGGGTATAAGGTCTTGCGAGTCTCGGGGTCCATGGTCTGGAGGTTTGGGCTTTCTTCACTCCTTTCAAAAACAGCATCACAGCCTGAAACCTAGTAGCCTGACCAACCAAGACCCGAACACGTAACCCTAACGGCTCAAGCCCTCAAGCACGTGGTCGCCAAGCGTCTTATTTGCGAAGTTCATAGCATCCGTTTTCTTCTTGGTAGGCGGGGCAGGCCCATAGTCCTGTTACACAGCTTGGGGCTCTGGAGCAACCACACAAAAAGGCTTCATGCAATGGTGCAGGGTTTACGGTATCAAGTTTCAGGCAAGTTGTCGAGGGCAGCTGTCAAAACTTGACTCAATGCTTACCTTCTTGACCTCCGAAAGACAGAGCCCACAGTTTCTCTCAAAGGGCCACAGTCACAAAGCAAGGTGAGGGTGCGAAAACCAAGGCTCAGGGAGACTGCAAAAACGGCTGCGTCGGGCTGCACGGTCTACCAAGAAGTACGTAATCGCCAAATGCAAAAGTTGGCTGGGAAAGTGTCTAAACTACCAAAGGTTTGTTCCATCCTACAGACGTGAACTACAAGATCCTGAGCCCTGAAGCACAGAAAGCCTGAGCGCAAAAGCAGGAGCATAGAACCATTTGCCTGCTTGTAATAATGCCGCCGTGCGATGGTCTATATTAATTATTCAGGCACAAGCCAACCCGAAACCCCAGACTCCAAGCCTTCGGCTCCTAAACTCTAAACCTTGAACCCCAAGCCTCAAACTTCAACCCTAAGTACAGAATCTCTAGACTGAGAAATCCTACACCCTAACCTGCCCCAAAGCTGGAAACTATGTCTTAAATGCCAAGCCGTAGCGTCCGCAGTGGTCCTCTGCTTTCCTCTTCATCGCTGTGCAGCTAGGGTCATAAACTCTGAGAACCAGCGCTGCAGAATTGAATCTGGAGTGTAGTTGTTCAATTGTGTCGGGGTAAGCCTTTAGGGTTAGGGACTGATGGGGCTTCGGGTTGGCCAGGGCTTGGGCTTTAGGCTTCAGTGCTTGGGGCTGCTCAAGCATTTGAGAGCCCTGGGGCGCAACGCTGAGTGAGGCCCCGGCACGGTCAAAAGGATATCCCGGATGCATACAACTGGCTCACCATGCTAAAGGACATGCTGCAGCCTGTACAGCAACCGGAGCTAGCCTAATGTTGACCTTATATTGCTAAACTCCGCATAGCTGCAAAATCCAAAGGCCAGAACGTGATTACAACCCCTGCGCAATTGCGACATCCTATCCGCCAAGAAACGAAAGTCAAGAAGCGCTGGCTACTTTCAAAATTTAATCCTGTCCAGTACTACTGGAGAGCTCCAGCTGATGGACCTGGAGACCCGTAATGACTGAAGCTGGAGCCCTCATCCTTGCGAGGGGGAGAAAGGGGGTTCTCAACATGAAGTGGGCATTGCGGAAGCTCTCCGGCAAACCTGAATCTCTGTGGTAGACCTTGCGAATCTCATCTCTAAGCGCTAAACCCCGAACCTCCCCTTTAGCAAATCTCCAAACCCCAACCCTATTTCCACATGCCTCAATCCCGTCGCTACCTTGTTGGCCATCACAGCTCGAGAGCCTCTTGTGGCCCCTGCGAACTTGTGCGTGCTGGATGGCAGTACTTGAGTACCCTAAGGGTCACTATGGCGCCTGGAAGTCTACAATCTAACGGATTAAGGGACGGAATACCTCTTGCAGAGATTCCGGACCCTACGCCGGTGGTACCATGACCCTTGGGCGCTCGTTCAAATTCGAGGTCTTTGGGACCTGCCAGACTTCCTTTCAAAGGGATGGAAGAAGGGTAGCCTCAGCCAAACTGTTCCGGAAGGCCCCATTGCCAATTCGTAGTCTTTGTAGGGCACTTTAGCCCCGGGGCTATGTGGAGTCAAGCGCTGCAGGATCAAGCTCTATAGGGTTGCTGCTCACTTGATGGTCGAGGCGGCAGCACTGGCGGATGTTCTCGGGAAACACAGCCGCAAAGGCCATTCACGAAGCTGGCAAGATAACCTCGTTGCACCACGACGGGAAAGATTCTGCATCTAAGAGGGAACATTCACGACGCACAATGGTTTATCCCTTCCTCAATAGTATAGTATAAGGGATCTCGGGTCTTGATCGTTCTTTTTTTGGTGCGAAGGGTCGGATGTGAGGTTTAGGGCGGGGAATCTCTTGAGCATCAGTTTTGAGTTTCAGGCTTCCGCGTTTGTTGCTTGATGTCTAGGGGACTGGCGATGACGATCGCGATGATCTTGGTGCTATCACAGTCAAGGGTGACACATACCATGAAGCAAGGCCATCAGGAGGAAGAGCCAGCACATAGGCGAGCCCGCACATAGGCTTTCAGTTGGAAGATGCAAGAACAGAAAGAATCAAAGGAGGCATACGAGCAATAAGAATGTTCGCCGTGCAATCGTACAATATTCATACTGACAAGGGAACATAGAATCTCTCCGTAGGCTGTGGACATGTAGGCCTGCCCCAAAAAAGGACGGAAGCTTGTTTCGACAAGTGAGACTGCAAGTATAATGTTAGTGTCGAGTGGGTCAAAAAGCATACAACAAGTATTGCTTATGACAGGCAACCCACGAGAACAGAAGCAATGATCCTAAACCCTGGAAGCAGATCTGAATCCCCAACGCCCTAGTTCAAACCCTCCACACTGATCTCCAGACCCTAAGCCGCAAACACCAAAATCCTGCCCCAACCTCAAAAGCGCAACTGAAATGCCATATACCTGGACTCAAAGATTGATAAGCGAATCCTTGGCCCAAACCCCCAAAATATCCCAAAATCCTAAAGCCCTAGGTCTGAGGAATCTGTGTTTAAGTTTGAAGGTTTCGGGCATTGAGGTTTACCTTCCCCGCGGGTCAGGGTACCCTCAACGCATGCTGCTGTAGCCGAACCGTTGGGTCCCGTAATCGCCTCGTGTCGAGGTTGCACCAAAACCGCGCTTATATGCCTGACCACACTGGTCCGGGTTTAGGGGCTTGTCCAGGGGCTATGGCCCATGTACGGTCTTGACCCTCAACCTCCATATATGGCTTTTTCACAAACATGCCCACCGAACATGCTAGCAGTCTTACTCACAAGACTCACGGCACACCCCAGCAAGGGCAGAGCCCCCATAACGAAGCCCTAAACTGAAAACCCTCAAAAGTGTGTAAACATGTCCAGGAGTGACAGGCGGCTTGTTCTGTAGTCTGCCATTTCTCTTCCGAAGACCTCGTCTTTTAGGTTTGGCGTTTAGGCTCTAAGTCTTTAGGGTACGGTACAGCGAGCTCAAAATGGCACTCAGAGCTCAAGACATATCTCCCAATGCCAAGCTAACATGGAAGTCCAGGAGAAGCCCTGTAGAGACTACTGTTGTTTGTTTTGGCAGCTATATGGGGTTTCATGTTGGGAGGAAGCGGAATTTTGTCTTGTTGTACTGAAGGTTGTATGTTGACAGCTCGGGGTGTATGGCGGTAGGCTTGCTCTTGACGATTTTGGATTTCTGGCACGCCGGGATTTACTTGGACATCCATGAAACTTTGACTGATACATGAGGTGATACGTCGGAAAACTATACTGGCGACCATACTTTTCACTCCACCTATGACTATTCGTGTACATCTAACCAGCACTTCTGCATGGAGGCTTTGAGAACATTAACGGCCATAGGCCTATACGCCTGAATACTCGATTCTAAGACCCAAGTTTATCCAAACGCTAAGCCCTGAACTCTAGGCCCCTTCCCCTAGCTTAGACGCGGAACAACTTCCATGGCACCATACTGCAAAATCTTTATTACAGATGACCTCTTAACTCCTGAAACTGAAATTGTCAATCGTGAAGCTCCTCAGCTCTCAACCTCTAACCATTAGCTTGTAAGACTTGATTCCAACCGATGGGCTTTGAAGTTGAACTCGCAAAGCCCAAGTCTCAAGATCCATGGTTCACGCAGCCCTGGAGA